GACTGGCTGAGTTTTATTTTGATGTTGGATTGCAAAATCCAAGCTGTTTACTCCTTTCTGTTAAATAATATTGTTTCTCTGTTAGACTGAAAGCAAAATTCTCAAAAGGCAATGTATTACTGAATATCCCCCCTCAAATGTTAGATGTTAGCCTACAGTGCATTGTGTTCTGTCTCCAAAATATAGACTCATGTCTCAAGGTGACATCTGTTACCATTTCCAGATTCTACAAAAGCAATCATAATACATTCTCTATACATTATAGCAGCAGCACATATAAAAATGGACTTCAGTAAATTGAATAATAATACCTACATTTACAGGAGCACTTTAAAATGTTCATTTCCCATACACCCAATAATCCATACAAAGACCAATCAGGCTAGTATAATTACTCCTGGCTGGACATGAGTTTTTCCAAGGATGCAAACAATTCAAATCAAAGACAAAATTTCAATCAAAGATTTCATGATTCACAGCTCCTTCTCTTAATAATGTTATTATATTAATTTTATAATCTTAAGTGAGTTGGCAGAATATTTTAATACATGTAATAAAATGTCTACTAATAATAGATGAGGGTTGTCAACTAATTCTAGTTTTATGGGAAAAAGCAAATACTAGATTGATAAGATTTTCCAATCAGTATTTTAACTGACAGGTTTAATAGCTATGCAGCTCTCCATTCTTCCAACATCATACAGAAAGGAAAAGATTAGCATTTTCCTGCTACCCAGAAGTCTGGAACAATTGGACAGGTCTACAATTTTATAGCAATCCAACAATCTCCAATGTGGATTTTCAAATTGCACAGGTAAAGACAAATAACGGAATCCTTCCTTACATTTGATTCTAATTTAATTTCCACCAGGGAGGAAGAATTAATCAGCAGCTGGATACTCAAGTTGCTACACATGGGGAGGGGGCAGGCTGAATTCTCAAATGGACATTTGAGTACAGTTGTCTTGGGACTGCATGACCCTCAATGGGACATGTATTCTAGTATGCAATCAAATATGCATTTCAATCCCCAATTAGCTATATGTAACTGCAAAAGATAATCAAAACTGCATAAGGGAATGTACAGGCTAAGAGAAGAAACAAACAAAAGAATCATTTTTTTGGTTGGTACTTTCCAAAATGATGTATTCTTGCAAATTTGCTACTCTTTCTTTTGCAAACACCCTTTGTGTTTTTGTATCAAAGGCAAGGCATCAAAAGATGTTGTACCTAATTTTGCACACACATTTGTCACATATTCCAACACAAATACAAACTGGCTTGCTGCTATAAAGTAGATCAGTTGAAGAATGGTTTTGCTGGGATAGGTGGATAGGAGGTGAGATAAGAAGAGCCCATAAACAGACAAGCTGCATGGAAAAGAAAGGATATCTGAGACAATGTGCTGACTAGCCACAGATATCTGAGACCAAGGGGATGAAAGCAAAGCAGAAAATCTACTGAAATAAAGGCAAAATTTTTGCACACAAATGATTGAAAGTCTCTCAAGCATTTAGGGCAGCAAAAGGATATAATGGTTGATCATTGCAGGCAAGCCACACAGTTAGCTCTTAATCTTCCATGTACTAACAGTCTTAAGCTGCTGTTATGCTTATGGAAATTCAGAATAGTTTCAGACAGACCACTCTTGAATCACAAGACATCATGGACGGGGTCACACAAAACACTTAACTTTGTTGTTGTTTTCTGAGTTCTCACATTAAATCATAAACAAATTTAACAACCTAGCAATGCCACAACGAAGCCTAATCAAAGTAATCAATCTTAGCATGTTGTTCAAATACATCTGCTAGTTTAACAAAGGTGGTTTAATAAAAACCCCACTTACAAATACACTCAAATCATACAAGTACTGTATTCATGTAAGTTTCCATTTGCTATCAGAATGCATCAATCTTAGGAGATTTCCAAGGGATGGGACTTAAGATCTTTTTGACAACATTAAAAAGTATATTCCATTACTTTTTTTTTTAACTTGAATATTGAATAACCTCATGAGAGAACATATGCTTCAGCAGATCACCGATCTAAAAGATATAGCCTTGTTTATGCAACACATTCAGGATGGCAACAAGAGAAAAAATGAGTCTGTATCAGTCAAAACTGTAATGCACAGAAAACATGTTTTAAAAAAAAGGATGCAGTATCACATATGTTTTATGTATTTATATACAGATACAACATCTTTATCTCATAACTCCAACACTATTCCATCTAGTTCAACAATTCAGACTGGATGCTAGACACAGAGATAAGCACGCTGCATGGGATTGTAGAGAAAGATCACTACCATGGTTCCTCATAACATACCCAGGCAAACTTACTAAGACATGGAAATTCCTCATACTGTACTTTAACCAAACCACTTCCTTAGGGTAATCAAACAATCCAATTGATTCCATTTGTTAGTACAGAACTGATTTAGAAGAGACTGGAGCATGTCTGGGTACATCTCCATTTTATCAAAAGTTCTCTGTTTTCTTCGCAAGTTTTATTTTAGACTATTTTTCATTTATTTATAAAATATGTGGGCTTCAAATCAGAACAATAAAAAAAGAGCTGCCTAACTATAACCAGCCTTGTCTCTCTCAAAAACAATCGAACTTACTGGTATTTTAAAAGGCCTTAATAAATATACAAAAACAAAGTTTCAGATGGGCATTGAAATTAAGTGACAAAGTCAAGTGCTTTGCTTGGAGAATGAAGTTCCAATGGGAGGAAAATAATGACATAATTAAACGAAATGTCTTTAATGTTGACAAACTCCAGAGCTAAGAAGCCCTATTTTGCAGCTCTCAGAGTTTCAATCTCTGAAGATAAGGAGGGAAATGGAGCAGAACCTTGTTTGAAAATCTGAGAGAATGCAGACATAGACTCAGGATGTTCTCCCTCTTTCTTTTTATACTTTATGTCCAGTTTCCATTTATCTGACTCATGAACATAGCAATTTAATAGGGTGACAGTTTGGACAGATTTGCAAAAAAAGAAGAGCCCATGTTTAATCTATGGTTTCTTCGGTTAAAAATAATTCCTCTTGGGAGAGGTGATGTTAAGAATAGACTGTTCTGGGTTAGAAGGAGACATACCAGGAAATTCAGTACGTTTAGAGTCATTAAATTATCTCTTTCCCACCCCAGCAAGTCCTAGTACTAACATTTGTGCTTTCCACTTAAACATACATTGTTCTTCCACCCAGAATTGTTGTGTGCCTTTGTTTCTTCTCTCACGCCAAGAGTGGATATATTTAATTGTATTCAACTACCCACATGCAACTAAAAGTTGATGTTGTGTGCCAAAGGTGTGAGGGGTATACTTTAAGTTCAGATATTGCTGTGTTTACCCCCAAAACATCTGCTCAAATAAGCAGGCATTACCTATTCTGGAATATGCCCAATGATGTAACCTCTTTAAAAAGAAACTATGCCCCCGCCCCCCAAATTCCATCACTGAAGCAGGATCAGCAACAAGGTGATCTTGTCATATAGCTACACCAGATATAAAAAAGCAGAGTATTAAATAGGATCTAAATCTTTAAGGCCATTAAATAACATACAGACTACATTATCTTACCATACATTTAACAATAAGAAATCATGTAATATCTATAGAACTGGACATACCCATCCAGAACTACCTTCTACATCATAACAATGCAAATTTAATACAGAACTAAATCTCTTTCCACACAAGCTAAATGCTACACTTAACACCCACATTAATGCATGATATCAGATTGCATGTACTCATGGTTCAAAATCTGAAAGAAATTATTTCTATAATGCAGCTATATACAGGCATCCACACTCTTTGCATGCTGCACTGCAACTTATGTACAGCTACTTGCGTTTATTCTGTTTCTCCAATATGTGTCCCTCTGTCAGAGATATGTTAGCATAATGCAAATAGTGCATTATGCAATAATAGTAATAATGATGATGATGATGATGATGATGCATTATCAGCTGTAACAAACATGTTCACAATGTTCGTAAGCCATACAATGCCATCTTGAGCCACAAATAACATTATTGATAACATATTCTGGGTGCTGTTCAAATTCACTGAAATACTTCTTCTTGTCATTCATTCTCATTCTCATTCTCTCTCTCTTGCCTTCTTTTTGCTGGGCTTTCAAAATTTACCATGGAATTTCTGAAGAGACAAATCAGATCAGGACGTCTGGTATTTTTACACAGCAATATTGCAATAAATCAGCCACAAATCAATTTCCAGCAGAGGAAAGGTTTTCCCTTTTTTATGAATATATGATAGCTTGTTAGGAGGAAATCTGAAATAATTAACTTTCTGTTATTGTTGCCTTTGCTGCTTTTACTGCTTGTCAATGATTAGTGACTATTAAGCAATGAGCATATTTTCCTGCAACAGCTCTTGTCTTTCCCTTCCCTTCAGGGACATTCTCCGCTTTTCATCAAAAAAGTATACCTATTCTGCTACCCACTAAGAGGACCACTGCCAAGTATGAACAATTTAAGCATTCACACACCCCAGTTTTCAAGGTCACTGCTGAAATAAAACAAGCTCTTACTTACAACATTATCCAAATACTACGCAGCATTACTGAATACAAAATATACAACATCTCCAAGAGGGAGGGTAGATGAGGAGGAGGCAGGCATGGGAAAGAACTGAAGGAACAAGTAGTTAGCAAAGTTCAGCTAATACTGAATTTAAGTTCAAGTGCTGAAGGTATTCAAGCCTCTTGCATTAGAAAAATTTAACCTATGTAAAAGTCAAACAAAACATTGAGTTTGATTTGCACAGTTACATCAACGGAGGTAACAGGCAGCAGAAGACCCTCTTTCTTCTCCAGCCAATGAAGAGTGCCCAGAAATAGGACATGCCTTGCTGCTGAAAGATATCAACGCTCAAAGCTGCAATATGCAGGAGAAAGCATAAGCAACAACATACCATACAGTTTCAATGCCTAAAAGAGTACTCTGTGCAAAAAGCAGCCTTACCTGGCTAATCTCCAGTTCTAGGCAAGCACGTTCCTGAATTATGCAGCAACAACCTGATGACTAACGTGCTTCCTTTGCAAGCCTCTCTCCCCCACCCCCAGCTCCATGTGCTCCAGGTTGTTTGGAATACATTGGGGTGTGTGTACTCTGTGCTGCACGCTGTTGAGACAGGCAAAAGATTCAGCACCAGAGCTGAGCTGCCTCCCGATTCCCACACCAGCTGACTGAGTAATTAAACTAAACACACGCCGCCAGAGCCACTCAAATTCAGCGACACTCCTGGGATCCCTGGTGCCACCTGGCAGACTCTAGCCAAGCACAGGGGAACGTGGCAGATACACCTCTTGGAAAACAATACTCAGAAGCCAAGCACTAGCAGTAAGCAGATAGCAAATGCACTTCCGTGCCCAAATGTAGATGTATAAACATAAGAGAACTAGAAGACAAGCAAAGCAAATCCATTTAATGCTTACGCAGCATTTCTGAACACCCAAAAGAAAATGCAAAATACTTTGCTGGAAAATGGATCAAGAATTACTTACAGGAGCCGCCCACATTTTTGTATGAGTTCATAACATAATCACCCAGCAGTTTCCACACTGCATGGCACATTCACAAGTAACATAGCATCCATGCATGGCCTAGGCAAATCGTTGAGAAACAGCATCAGAGGCTGCCACCAGCAAGTCCTGTTTTAATTACTACTTTAGTTTAAATGTCTCAGTTTTATTATGTTTTTTACATGTTGCTAATTGTTTTGAGAAATTTGTCTGGGACTCCAGAGCAGGGCAGAAATATGAAGTGTAAATAAAATCAGAAATATCACATGATTCTTGGAATTGGACTGGTGGTAGAGTTTATAAAGGCAAAGGACACTGCTGGTCACTCAAATTCCACATCATTATCTCCACACTATTTTTAGCATCCAAACAGCTTTACAGCATAGGTCTATATAAATGGTACAAAACAGCATTTTACGTAAAGCATAATTTATTTAGGGTCTTAAATGAGGTAACAGCCATCAGTCTAGCTGGATCAGAGCAGCAGGAGAAACTCATAAACACCCACAATGGATTTTAACACATTATAATTGTTAATTGATAAGGTGCTTACAATCTGTCTCACATGTATCCTGCATTGACATAACCATCCTTCCCCCCCCCCCAATTTAAATCCTACATACGTCTGCCTACTCTGTGCATCTGATAAAGTGAACAAAAGCTCATGAAAGCTTATGTTTTTTAATAAAACATGTTAGTCAGAAAAGGTGCCACTGGATTTCTGATTTTTTGCCACCATAGACTACCACAGCTCATTTCCTACAATGATCAATTCTAAGTCTCAGTAGTGACAGAGTTGTTTAACAAGATGGGTGGTGACAAATTCGATAGATGGATGGATGGATGGATGGATGGATGGATGGATGGATGGAACCTTCAGGTTCAGAAGCAGTATATCTCTGAATGCCAACTACTAGAGGGCCGACAGAACATTAATATATGTCTTCTTTGTAAACTTCCTGGAATCATATGGTCCTCACAGCTGAAAATAAAATGCAAGACTAGACTGATTTTTAAATGTAAGAGAAGCCCTGCTGAATCAAGACAAAAAATGTCCACTAAATCCAATAGTGGCCAATGAAACAATTCTAGGAAGCTCTCAAATAAAACATGAATGCAACTGTGTTCTATATGGTCTGATAACTGTTAAGTATAGCTGATCTTAATATACCTAAGGAACTTCCATTGGTGCAAAATGTTGCAATGGAAATCCTGCCTGGGGTTCGCTATATGGAGGACACAACCCAAATACTACTTAAGTAACACTGGATTCAGTTAATTAATTATTTAATTTATTATAATTATATAATGTGTAAGTACTGTGCAATTAACTCAAACCATTGTGTATTTAACTCAATTTTTGCTACAATAGGCTCCATTCTTAACTATGGATCATCTGTAAACGAGGCGTTCTTAACCCGCGGACTACCTGTATGGCACAGCAATGCCATTTTCAACAGTGACTCCAATGTAATTTGAAATGTATAGTTTCTCCTTAAGAAGTATTAGACCAACACTCAAATCAGACCAATAGCTGACTGATCCAGCAAAGTTACCCAATAACCAATAGTAGCAGAGGATAACATCTAGTAATAAGAATCTACTCAATTCCTCAGCACCTAATATTCAGTGATTTATATCCTTTAATACTACTGTTGTGGCTACTAGCCAATAATATATCCATTCTTCTATGTATTTCTCCAATCCCTTTTTATAATCACTTACAGCATTTCCTTATACACCTCAGCAACAGGGCAAGCAACTGATGCTGCCCTCACACACTTAATGCATGATAACTTAAGGAAAGCAGTTGGTGGGTTCCTTCTGTGTCACCTGCTGGTGGGAAAAACTACCATCAATTACCTTCCCTAACGGAAGAGCCAGGTTTTGACAGAGATGACATCCATGGTCCTCAGCTAGCTGATCTGAAGGGTGAAGAGGATGCAGTTTGGCTTGGTAAAAACAGGCTTGTTATACTGGGCAGAACCATCACCATCAAAGCACTGCTTTACCTCCTGTGAATATCCATGGAACAGGTGGCTCTGTCTGGTAAAGCAGGTGATGCTCTCCTGCTTTACTGGGAAGAACCACTAACTTCTGTGGATCAGGTGCACCACCTACTCCAAGATGCAGCAGGAGAAGCAGGGGGAGTAACTCCTTTGGTGCCAGTTCACAAGTCTGTGGGACTGGGAGAATTGGGAGCCTCCCCACTTTATTGCAGGGAAGCACTTAAACTGATACTTCCCCTTCAAAAGGAAGCAGCCTTTAGCTGACAATTCTCCTCACCTCCCAGCAAAGTTACCTACTGATCTCCCCCCACCCTGACAGATTCTGGTGCTGTAACAGCTGATCCTACAGAGGAAGAAGGTGCACTCTCTGCACTATAAAGCAGTTTTATCAGAAAGAAGCTGCACACATACAAACCTAATCAGTCACTGCAGCACCTGATTTTGGGGGGTTGGGTAGGTGGATGCATAGAAAATTAGGAAGAAGGAAAGTAGAAGCCAATGGCTCCTTAGCCAACCCAGGTGGGAAGAAAAGCAAGGAAGGGAAGTGCGGATAAGTGCTTCTTTAGGTGACAATTCTCTGATTGGAGAACTATTGGCTAAAGAGTCACTACTTTCATTTCCCTTCCCTCCTGCTTTTCGTTGCACCAGCCCTACTCTGCAATTGTTTGCTTTATTGGGCAGAATGTGCCCACCCCTCCCCCTTAATCAGGTTCTGCAGTGGAAGTGCAGTATATTTAGGGGTCACTGTACATGTAAAAAAAAAAATGCACCCACTTCTGTGGATCAGATGCTGCAGTGGCTGTTCCATGGGTGGTGGATGGGCAGCTTACAATGGTGGGTGGTAGCTAAAGAGCTGTTTCTGTTTCCTTTCCCCAACAGTCCTCTGATTCCATGGATCAGCTCCACAGGGTTGGAGAACTGGTAACAACAAATCATTTTTCCCACACATACTCATCATCCCACCAAACCCTGACAGCCTAGGGAACTTCTGCCAGATCTGACAGACTGGCCTTGGAAAACAATGGCCAGGGACCAGAGGTGGGAACAGGCCTGCAGCAGCCTCAGGTGACCACTAGGAGCTGGCAGAGCCCAGCCTCTGACCACATCATCACCAGTATAATTGTGGATGCATTATACATCATCTCTAAAGCAAAATTTGTCCTGTGAGAAGAGAACAGAACTTCACCTCTAAACCGGAACAGCTAAATTTGAATCTACAGTGTCCTTGCAATGAGCTGGAGATGAGATAAAGGCAACATCACCGGGACATGATATAGGAAGACGATAAGGCATCTTCTTGATGCAGTTAGCAGGATGAAAAGAAAAACCCTTAGTTGGAAATTATACCTTAGTTGATGCAGCCTTTTGCAGCTACATCATATTGTTGATTTGTATTTAATTGGTAATCAACTACTATTCTAAGCTCTTTCCCACAAGTACTATCTGCAAGCCACGTACCTACAATCCTATATCTGTGCATTTGTTTTGTTTCCCATATGAAGAACTTTGCACTCGTCTTTATTAGGTTTCATTGCTATTTTCAGCCCACTTCACTAACCTATCAAGGAAATTGTACTTGTCTCTTACCTAATTTGTATGTTTCTACAGAAATTTTTTTAATGGAGAATGGCATCCCAGCATTCAGAGAGAATTTCAAACACTATGCAATAACTGGAATTTGATCTATATAGTGGTTTGGGAAGTGCAAAGTATATGAGATCACATTAAGATATGAACTTTTTCTTTCTTATTCTGTGGCAGTCAGCAATTACTCTGGAGGATTTCAGCATGCTCAGCTCTGGGTTGACCTGAGGCTGCCATTGAGAACTTCAGTCTCAGCCACTACTAATCAAGGAGTTTGGATAGCCAACTTTCCATTATGGTTAAGTGGATGTTTAATGTAGTAATCTTCCCATGCCTCCTAATTTCATTTGCTAGAAGGTTAGGGAGTCTTATATTTTTACACTGTCATTTCACTGATCTGGTCCAGTTTTTCTTCCCTTGAATACCAACAATTGTTCATGGTCTCTTTAGCCCTACTAACCCAAGATATTATTTGTGAACTTGTAGTACCTTCTGTATGCAAATCTGATGTTTTATTCCTGAATTGTAAACCCTCCCCTAAATAAGCAAATGAATATTTTTAAAAAATTACACATTCTACCTCTCCAAAGTTTGTAATACACAAGCACATACAGTATGCATAGCCCCTCCCCATGCTGGCTGCGGAATTCTGGGAGTTGAAGTCCACACATCTTCAAGTCGCCATTTGCTAGAAGGTTAGGGAGTCTTATATTTTTACACTGTCATTTCACTGATCTGGTCCAGTTTTTATTCTACCTCTCCAAAGTTTGTAATACACAAGCACATACAGTATGGATAGCCCCTCCCCATGCTGGCTGCGGAATTCTGGGAGTTGAAGTCCACACATCTTCAAGTCGCCAAGGTTGAGGAACCCTGCTCTAAAAATTCAAGAGTTAAGTACTGCAGGTATCACAGGCAAAAGTAGCAGAGGGCATGGAGATAAAATATGAAATGAAGTGAGGCTTTAAGAATGTGGCAGAACTGCTCCAAACACCACTGCTTTGTTGCAAAAGGGAAAACTTGGGGCCGAAGCACAGGCTACTTACGCTGCTTTGAGGATCAACATTTTTGCTCCTCTATTTTGTTTTGATTTTGCTGTTTATAAGATTCCTTTAGTCTGTGCCGTACGTCGGATTTGATGTTTTTAATCTGTT